TAAGAAAGACAGCCCTGCAGAAGGAGCTGGGGGAGGGGGGTTTGTGCTCTCTTCCGGGACTATCGCCCCTGGATAGCACACACTCACCAGTCCAGATTGAACTCTTCAGCACCTAAACAGGGCCACCTGGTAGCCCAGTGATCCAGGGACAGAAGGAAGGACGGGGCAGGCAGTGCAGGATCCAGGAGAACACAGGAGCCCCTGGAGCCCAGGCTGAGGGTGTTGGGCTCTCTTACTGGGGACCTTGAGGCTCACTGCTCTGGGTGGGTAACCTTAGGGTCTAAAATTAATTTTTATAAAAGCACAGAAAAGCACAAAAAATTAAACAAAGGGTGAACCTAGAATATAGCATCATAGACTTGAATAGAACTGAAGCAATCCAACACATGAAATTGTAAGAACCAGAAAAAAATAAAGAAATCAGAGAGTAAAACACTTAAAGAAATAATGGGCCAAAATTTTCCATGCTTTGTCTAATCTCTGGCTTTAAATAAACTCTTAGGGTAAAGATAGCCCGGGAGTAAAGTACACTATTTGCTCTTCCAGGGGTTTAGAGTTCAAGTTGCATCATCTCTGTCAAGCAACTTGTATCCAGCTACAACTACTACTTTCGGGGACCTGATGCTTCTGGCTTTCACTCATGTGTGTATACCCATATACGTGCATATAATTGAAAAGATAATCTTAAAACAGTAGGAGCAGCTGTAGAGATGTGTCAGTCATTAGGTGAATGGTTTCTCTACTAAAAAAATACAGATTCTGTTTTCAGCACTCGTATGGCACTCACCACCATCTGCCTTTCTATGGCTAGCCATCAAGGAAGCATGATGCTTTCCAACTTATCTGGAATTGTATGTAAAAATAGCAAGAACTCATCTTCATGAAAAAAAAAAAAAAAAAAAAAAACAACACAAACTTTGGTGATCCCAGCAAAAAACGTAAGGCATTTTCTCCAAGTATAATTTTTTTAATAAAATTGTTAAAATTTTTAGTTTATTTTTAAGAAAACCACAATAAGTTCTGGTGCTGATATAGGTGACAAAAGAAAAAAATACAGGGCTGATATGACTGTAAACTCATATGACCATTCTAGAAACCACTGCGGAACTTTCACATCTAGAAGTACTGTAGCTTCCATTTTTATAACTCTTTGTTATAGACCCAAAGGATCTAAGCAAGCATATTACATATACACTTGCGCATACATATATGTTACTACCCTCATAATAGGTCAAATATGGAATTAGTCTGAGAATCCAAAAAATATAAGTAGATAAAGAAAACATGGTGGATATATCAGAATTTTATTCAGTTTTAAGGAAGATTCAAATAATGACAATATGGGTAAAAATTATGAAACTGGGCAATGATGTTTTAAGTAGCATAAAGCAGAACAAGACAGACAAACATCCCATTTTCTATCATATGTATGGCCTTGATTGAGTATATATATATATAATCACAAATATATATATATATATTTGTGATTATGTACGCATTGGACATTAAAGAATAAAGAAAACTATGAGAATGGTTGAAGAGGTATGATATGAGTAAGGTGAGAGGAGAATGGGTGGGTAATAGTGTAACTATCATGAAATCAGAAGTGAGAACTGCCTTGCAGAAAGGTGAGAACTAGAGAGGTGAGAGTATGGTGGAGACAATAAGAAAAGTCTGAAGAAATATGCATGTAGATATGACAATGAATCTCAAAATATTGCTATTAAAAAGAAAGTACTAAACAATTGTGGAATATATATTTTTAAAATTTTAAATTTACATCAATTTGTGGAAAGAATATTGTAATCTGATGAATAATTATATTTAATGTGATAAAATCAAAGTGGTTAAAATTTCCCTTTGAAACATTTTAAAATGTTTTGGTTAAGGAATCAATTACAATGATTATCAAGTCTGTATGTGTGTGTGTGTGTGTGTGTACTGATCAAAACAGAGAAATTCACATTTCTTTCTCATATATCTTATATGTTAACTCATTGTAGTTTATGTTACACATTAAATATATTTTCACAGGACAGAAATCCAGTTTACTTTCCTTCTAATATATTGACAAGATACTATTTTGTCTCATTCAGTGTGGTATGTTGCCATATCATACCCCAAATGTGCATACACAAATACCTCACAAATTATAATAAAGCATAATGAAGCATTACTTGCTAAAATACTTAGCAAAACATTAGACATTAAGACTTGGTACCATTTTCTGAAGAGTAAATAAGGGCATATTTTCAGCTGTAAAGGTTGTGTGTTCTCTTTTACCACTGCTGAAGTCTGTCAATGTATGGAGAGAGCAGCCAGTGAGGAATCACTGACTGTGACTCTTTGGGTAGAGTACACTGATTCTTATGTGTACACAACACATTACACAAACTTTCCCTGTTAGTGAAATTACGCTAAATATGTTATAAAAGAATTCTACCTAAAAATGCTATGATTTGCTGTGAGGCAAAATACATTTGCCAAGATGCTAAAATGCCTTAGACACGTATGAGAAATAAAATTTCCATATTATTTTAGCTATTGTTTATTTGGAAAATTTAATCTCATTTCTATTCATTATTTACTGCATGATTACATTTAAGAAGTGAAAGTGAAACTGTTCAACAAATTTTTAGGGTAGACATAATATAAGCAAGAATTATGTTTAATGGTATTCACATCTAAAAAGCAAAATTGCAATAAAATTGTACTCATATCTTAAAAATTATATTATGCATAGTCTCAAATATATTTCTCCTTTAGTAAGGATTTTAGAAATTAATTAATTTATCTTGGTTTTCAGATGGTGAAACATTGAAAAATAATTGCCAATAACAAGTGATTTTGTCAAAACAAACATCATATCTTTTAAGGTGAGTTTGAAGCCAGTAACACAGAAGGCCACAGAAAAGAAAGACAACCTGATAGACATGCTCAATATTAGGAGACTGAATCATTGGTGTGAAAATTAGAAAAACTGATAAAGCTATAGATCCAAATATGAATGGCAGCCATACCTGAAAGAAAAAAAATAAGATTTGTGATGTCATGGCAAGTTCTTATGACAAAATCACATTAAAAATGCTATAGAACCCAAAGAAAGTGAGTGCATACACATCTTCAAAAGTTTTAGAGTAGGCAGTCCTGGCATTAGCTAATAGTAAATTAGATATTCCTTACCACAAAATGTCACTTTTAACTTACTTATTTGCCTGTAGTATCCATTAATATCTATTCTATTAACTGAGTCATCATTCAGAAAAGCCAGTGCTTTATTTTCAAACAGTATAGACACCATTTGTCATAAACAAAAACAGCAGTATTTTTCTACTTAATAATGATTACAATGATCTTTTACTGCATTAGGAAAACTACTTAAATAGTTATAAACAGCCAAACTCTTTCCTTCCTTTTCCTTCTTTGTTTCTTTATAATAATTTTAGTTGCCATAGTATAGTGATGTGTTTATAGGTAAAATGAGTNATTTCCTTTTCTTTCTTATTTATCTCTTTCCTTCCATAAAATTGTTTCCACTTATGCTTCCTGATATATGTTTGACTTTCTTTTTTTGTTCTCATAAGTCTCTTCCTTTTACACATCATCATTTCTTGTGATCTCATGTCTGTGCTTGTGTCTGATATGTGCATATGTACTAATACATATTTTAACAAGAAATGTGATTTCTGACCTTAAGTCTAGTTATGTGTAATATTGCAATTACCAATTTAAATATGTTCAATTATCCTTTCATTTCTTTAATTAAGCCAAAGTTTCCTGTTGTGTTTGATTCCCCTTCTGCACTCTTAACCTCAGATTGGAAGTATTTTGTTAAAATTTGCTGCACATATATTCACCAGAAAAATTGTTCTATAGTTTTCTTTGTTTTTGTTGGGGTTTTATGTAGTTTTGGTATTAGTGTACTGCTGGCTTTGTAGAATGATTTATTAGCATTCCTTCCATTTTGTTTATGGAATTGTTTGAGAAGCATTGGTGCCAGCTTTTAAAGGTTGGTTGATTTCAATAGCTCCTTAAAACTGCTTCTTCCAGTACCAACAACACTACTCAGGGATGAAGTTTCTAATTAGGCATTAGCTCATCTCTATGTTTAATGAGTTGTGTGGGGATTTTCTTCAATAGGGCCTTCCTTTGAGTTTGTTTGTCCTTGATAATAGCTTTGGTTGTTTGGGAGCTTCAATGTGGCCTTTTTAGCAAACAACTCTTTTAGATGTAACCCATACCTAGTCCTGGAAGCTTCATTTGGAGACAACAAATTCAGGTTTTGGCTCAATCTCCCTTATTATTTGGAAGCTTTACTGAGGTTGTTTATGTACATGTATATATTTTAGAAAGTATCTACTTTATTAGTTTTTTTTCTCAAACGGCACTTAGTTTTAGAAGTCCCGCCCATACTCCACATAAATGTACAGTTCCTATTGCTACTACTTTCTAGTATTTTCTACTATGATCTGATCAGAGACAAATCATTATTGTAGGGATTTTTTACATAAATTTATGGACATTTAAGGGAAATTTACAATCAATGAATATTTTGAAGATACTCTTAAAATCTATTTGATGTATAGTATAGTTTATCTCTGAATTTTTTAAATTTATTTTTGGCTTGAATGAACTACATAAAGATCAGAGTGCTGTATGGAATTCACTTACTGTCATTGCACCAGGACTTATCTGATATTTTATGTCCATTACTGTTCAGTAAGTTTAAAATGAAATTGGGAATTCCAATCATTTAGCAGGCATTTCTTGTTTATATTTCTGGTGAATTGTCCATCTTATATGTATGTAGTATTTTACTTCCTGTTTTTTTCTAGTGGTTTTCAGCTTCTCTTTTCTTAAAAAATTGTCTTGCTTTCTTTGTTTATCAGTTCATGGTCAGTTTTGCTAATGAGGCCCGTTTCTTAATGATGTCCAGCAGTTACTTATTAATTCTCATCTATTCAGTAATCTTTGTCATTCTATTGGTGATGTGAATTTATTTGCAATTAATTTTATTATTGAAAATGGTATAAAAGTACTTTAATTTTGATTAATTTCCTGATGCTGATGTGTAGATTATTGTGCCTTTTTCTTTCTCCTCTATTTGTGAGAGTTACTTGTTAAGAATGTTAGTAACAATGTATCCGCTTCTACTTCTCCATTAATCATCAATTCTTCTCATGAAGCTTATTCTGGGTGGTGGTTTCATGATATTTTCTTTCTTCATTCTTGATATACAGTATTCATTTAAGTACATTCTGCACAGATGATTTGATGGCCATGAGTATTATAACATCTACTTACTTGTTTTTAACTGTCATTATTTCCATATTAGTTTTACAATATAGTTTTGGTGGATGTAGCAATCTTGGTTAGCTGTCATTTACCTTGAAACAGGAATTGGTTTGGTTGCTTTTCAGTTTTAAACAATATACCATTATACACAAGACTTAGTGTTTTCTTCAATAGGAGTGTTTGTCCATTTCATAATGTCTGACACCAAGTATGCCTTGAATATAGGTCTGGATATTGATTTATTTAAGGTCTGTTGTTGCTGAGTCTTTACACTGTGATACGTAAATAACCAGCACGTCAGTGACTTCACACTTTTAGATTGATAATGTTTTCAGCGTGAACACTCATACTTCTGAAATACACCTACTTGCCATTTACTGTAACTAATGCTCAGGAGATAATAATAAAAATCAATAAACAGGAATCTGAAAGGCATTGTTCAGGTATCTCACAGGTTCATCCGATTTTTCACTTTCAAGATGATATCTGATATGATTCTTTTTTTTTATTGAGAAAAGGAAAAAAAAATGTTTCTGCCTCCTCCCAGCCTCCCATTTCCCTCCCCCGCCCCGCACTCTTCTCCCCCTCCCCCCACTCCTCTCCCCCCCCCTCTCCAATCCAAAGAGCAGTCAGGGTTCCCTGCCCTGTGGAAAGTCCAAGGTCCTCCGCACTCCGTCCATGTCTAGGAAGGTGACCATTCAAACTGGCTAGGCTCCCACCAAGCCAGAACATGAAGTAGGATCAATACCCCATGCCATTGTCCTTGGCTTCTCATCAGCCCTCATTGTTCGCCATGATCAGAGAGTCCGGTTTTATCCCATGCTTTTTCAGTCACAGTCCAGCTGGCCTTGGTGAGCTCCCAATAGATCAGCCCCACTGTCTCAGTGGGTGGGTGCACCCCTCGTGGTCCTGACATCCTTGCTCGTGTTCTCCCTCCATCTGCTCCTCATTGGGACCTTGGGAGCTCAGTCCAGTGCTCCAGTGTGGGTCTCTGTCTCTATCTCCATCCATCACCAGATGAAGGTTCTATGGTGATATGAAAGATATTCGTCAGTAATGCTATAGGATAGGGTCATTTCAGGTTCCCTATCCTCAGCTTCCCAAGGGACTAACTGGGGACATCGCCTTGGGCTCCTGGGAGCCACTCTAGGTTCAAGTCTCTTGCCAACACTAAGGTGGCTCCCTTAACTAAGATATGTGCTTCCCTGCTCCCCTATCCAACCTTCCTTTATCCCAATCTTCCTGTTTCCCCAAGTTCCCCCAATCCTCCCCTTCTCACTTTTCTCTCCCCGTCCCCCCTTATCCCCAACCCACCCCACCCCCAAGATCCCAATTTTGTCCCCGGCAATTTTATCTACTTCCCTTAGCCAAGAGGATAACTATATGTTTTTTCTTGGGTTCACCTTCTTCTTTAGCTTCTTTAGGTTCACCAGGTATACACTCCGTGACCTTTATTTATGGCTAGAAACCAATTATGAGTGAATACATCCCATGTTCATCTTTTTGGGTCTGGGTTACCTCGCTCAGGATAGTGTTTTCTATTTCCATCCATTTGCATGCAAAATTCGAGAAGTCATTGTTTTTTACCGCAGCATAATACTCTAATGTGTATATATTCCACACTTTCTTCATCCATTCTTCCATTGAAGGGCATCTAGGTTGTTTCCAGGTTCTGGCTATTACAAATAATGCTGCTATGAACATAGTTGAACAAATGCTTTTGTCATATGATAGGGCATCTCTTGGGTATATTCCCAAGAGTGGTATTGCTGGGTCCAGGGGTAGGTTGATCCCGAATTTCCTGAGAAACCGAAACACTGATTTCCAAAGTGGTTGCACAAGATTGCATTCCCACCAGCAATGGATGAGGGTACCCCTTCCTCCACAGCCTCTCCAGCAAAGGCTATCATCGGTGCTTTTGATTTTAGCCATTCTGACAGGTGTGAGATGATATCTCAAAGTTGTTTTGATTTGCATTTCCCTGATTGCTAATGAGGTTGAGCATGACCTTAGGTGTCTTTTGGCCATTTGAACTTCTTCTTTTGAGAATTCTCTGTTCAGTTCAGTGCCCCATTTTTTAATTGGGTTAATTAGCATTTTAGAGTCTAGTTTCTTGAGTTCTCTATATATTTTGGAGATCAGACCTTTGTCTGTTGCGGGGTTGGTGAAGATCTTCTCCCAGTCAGTAGGTTGCCTTTTTGTCTTAGTGACAGTGTCCTTTGCTTTACAGAAGCTTCTCAGCTTTAGTAGGTCCCATTTATTCAATGTTGTCCTTAGTGTCTGTGCTGCTGGGGTTATACTTAAGAAGCGATCTCCTGTGCCCATCTGTTGTAGGGTACTTCCCACTTTCTCTTCTATCAGGTTCAGTGTGTTCGGACTGATATTGAGGTCTTTGATCCATTTGGACTTGAGTTTTGTGCAAGGTGATAGATATGGGTCTAATTTCAATCTTCTACAGGTTGACATCCAGTTGTGCCAGCACCATTTGTTGAAGATGCTTTCTTTCTTCCATTGTATACTTTTAGCTCCTTTGTCGAAAATGAGGTGTTCATAGGTTTGGGGATTAAATTCCGGGTCTTCTATGCGATTCCATTGGTCGACTTCTCTGTTTTTATGCCAATACCACACTGTTTTCATTACTGTAGCTCTGTGATAGAGTTTGAAGTCAGGGATGGTAATGCCTCCAGAAGATCCTTTATTGTATAGGATTGTTTTGGCTATCCTGGGTTTTTTATTTTTCCATATAAAATTGATTATTGTCCTCTCAAGATCCGTGAAGAATTTTGATGGGACCTTGATAGGAATTGCATTGAATCTATAAATTGCCTTTGGTAGAATTGCCATTTTTACTATGTTGATCCTCCCAATCCAAGAGCAAGGGAGGTCCTTCCATTTTCTGATATCCTCATCAATTTCTTTCTTCAATGCTTTAAAGTTCTTGTCAAATAGATCTTTTACTTCCTTGGTTAGAGTTACCCCGAGATATTTTATGCTGTTTGTGGCTATTGTGAAAGGTGAAGCTTCTCTGATTTCCCTCTCTGCTTCCATATCCTTTGTGTATAAGAGGGCGACTGATTTTTTGGAGTTGATCTTGTATCCTGCCACATTACTAAAGGTATTTATCAGCTGTAAAAGTTTCTTGGTGGAGTTTTGAGGGTCACTTATGTACACTATCATATCATCTGCAAATAACGAAAGTTTAACTTCTTCCTTTCCAAGTCAAATCCCCTTGATCCCCTTATGTTGTCTTATTGCTATTGCTAGAACTTCAAGCACTATGTTGAAGAGGTATGGCGAGAGTGGGTTTCTGAGTTTAGTGTTCCTGAGTTTAGTGGGATGGCTTTGAGTTTCTCTCCGTTTAATTTGATGTTAGCTGTCGGCTTGCTGTATATAGCTTTTATTATATTTAGGTATGACCCTTGTATCCCTAGTCTCTCCAAGACTTTTATCATAAAGGGATGTTGAATTTTGTCAAATGCTTTTTCAGCATCTAATGAAATGATCATACGGTTTTTTTCTTCCAGCTTATTTATATGATGGATTACATTGATAGATTTTCATATGTTGAACCAGCCCTGCATCTCTGGGATGAAGCCTACTTGATCATAATGGATAATTTTTCTAATGTGTTCTTGGATTCGGTTTGCCAGTATTTTGTTGAGGATTTTTGCGTCGATGTTCATGAGTGAGATTAGCCTGTAATTCTCTTTCCTGGTAGAGTCTTTGTGTAGTTTTGGTATCAGAGTAATTGTAGTTTCATAAAAGGAATTTGGCGATGACTCTTCTGTTTCTATATTGTGAAATACCTTAAGGAGTATAGGTATTAAGTCTTCTTGGAAGTTCTGGTAGAATTCTGCATTGAAACCGTCTGGTCCTGGGCTCTTTTTGGTAGGGAGGTTTTTTATAATATCTACTAATTCTTTGCGACTAATAGGTCTATTTAGATTGTCCACCTGGTCCTGGCTTAACTTTGGTATATGGTATTTATCTAAAAAAGTGTCCATTTCTTTTACATTTTCCAGTTTTGTGCCATACAGGCTTTTGTCGTAAGATCTAATGAATCTCTGAATTTTCTCTGTGTCTGTGATTATGTCCCCCTTTTCATTTCTGATCTTATTAATTTGCACATTTTCTCTCTGCCGTTTGATTAGTTTGGATAGAGGTTTATCAATCTTGTTGATTTTCCCCAGGAACCAGCATTTTGTTTCATTGATTCTTTGGATTGTTTTCTGTGTTTCTATGTTGTTGATTTCAGCCCTCAGTTTGATTATTTCCAGTCTTCTACTCCTCCTAGGTGAGTCTGCTTCTTTTTTTTTTTCTAGAGCTTTCAGGTGGGCTGTTAAGTCTCCAATGTGTGCTTTCTCTGCTTTCTTTAAGTGGGCACTTAGTGCTATGAACTTTCCTCTCAGGACTGCTTTCATAGTGTCCCATAAGTTTGAGTATGTTGTTTCTTTATTTTCATTGAATTCAAGGAAGACTTTGATTTCTTTCTTTATTTCTTCGTTAATCCAGGTGTGGTTCAGTAGTTGACTGTTCAGTTTCCATGAGTTTGTAGGCTTTCTGGGGGTAGCATTGTTGTTGAATTTTAACTTTAATCCATGGTGATCTGATAAGACACAGGTGGTTACTAATATTTTTTTGTAACTGTGGAAGTTTGCTTTGTTACCGAGTATGTGGTCAATTTTCAAGAATGTTCCATACGATTGTCTGAAATATATCAGAGATATACAATGTATTAAAGGTATCATTCATTTGGCTGACTTGGGATACATTTGTAGAAGAAGCAATTTCAAAAAGAATTTGGAATATAATATAGACTGATATTTCTCAAAATACAGTTAGTTTTCACTATATATTAAAATCCTAAGATGAAAAATATTAGTATACATTCCTGTGGTTCAGTAGACACTGAATAAATCAGAATGCCTAGGGAAAAATTTGTGAATGTGTTATTTATTAACGATTCTAATGGGCTTATTAGAGTCACTATCAAAAATACAAAATTGTTTTCATCATTTTCTATTATCTCAGCAACCATTATACAGATTAATTCTTTAGGATATTCATAGGACTATTGAAAAGGAAGGCAAAGATAATGGAACATCTACGGATTCATGTTATATAACTGTGTGATTTACATATTACCAAGACAATTTAAATGAAAACCGTGCAACATAAGTCTTTCCTTAACATCTTGAATTAAATAAAATGTCTACTAAGAAAATGAGCAAAAAAGAGGAATCTACTTCTACTATGTAAAATTATGAGGTGAGGCAGCTCATTTGAGCATGGAAATTGTAAGTTTCTCCTTAGTACTATTGTTTGCTCCCTGCAAGATAATGATGCCATCTGTTTTCCCTGCAGTATATCGGTTTTTACCTTTCACACAATGAAAAAAATGAAGGCTCAAATGGTCAATATCACAAATGCTTGGTAAGAATAAAAGAGTTATTGCTTCATAGAGTGGTTAGAAGAAACTCACAGCTATTGAGAAAGGTTTAACAACAAACAAACTATATATTCAACATTTTTTGCATATTGACTTACCTTATAAGGTCTTGGCAGATCAGGCTTCTGGTACCTTATTTTAAGCAACCCTATCATATTCATCAAATTTAAACACCATGCTCCTAGTCCCACATATTTCACTAAGTAAATTAAATTTGAAGTTATTATTGAAATAGAAGACAAAATGATAATCATGAAGACTGCTACAACTGGAGAATGATGTTCATTAAGCATTGAGTATATGAAAGGTAATTTTCCATCCTGACTTGCACAGTAAAATATTCTTGATGTTGAAAGTATTCCACAAGAAATGGTGTTCATCAGTGAAACTGAGATCCCCAAAGAAATAGCCCATTGTGTCGAAGGGAAAACTCTGTTCATCCATGTGATAGCAATAGAATCTGAAAAATTAAATGAAAATTCAAAAAGCTAAAGTTATTTTTTGCTTGAAAGACAATAGAGCAGCATTCTGTAATTGTTCCTATATCCATACATTATGTAATAGAATTTGTCAATTCATTCTAAGAGAAGGCGTCTCTTACTGTTTAATCTGTTGTTCTCTGTGAATGGTTATGTCCAGCATTAGATGTGCATATTTGAGAGCCGCAAGGCTGCTCAGTAGCAGGAATAATAGTTCTTGCTCTCCTGATTCTTACTATGTCTATCTCATGTATTAACAATACACAACCTTTTGCCAAATAATAAGACAGTACTAGCTGTGAGGCCCTGCACTGTATGATACATACCTCCCAGTAAAAGTGGCCTAAAACTTAGCTACTATTGTGTAGAATACATTGTAAAGTTTGTGAACTGTGACATTTCCCCACATATCCTCCCCTTAATGTTCCTATATTGCAGATATACTTAAAAACACTTCTGTACAATGTCCCCTTTGACATTGCCAAATATTGCTTATATTACTATGTCATTTTGTGACTATTTGTATAAGACTGAAAATATCCTAAAGAAAGACTGTGTATGCCCTTTCTTTTTATCATGCTGTTTAAAATTAGTGCTGCTGCCTATGTCTGGAATAGAAATTTTCCCATTTTTCATGTGTATGAAGGAAATGTTGAAGTTCTAGTTCCAACCAGAATAAACATTTATCTCCAAAAAAATTATGTTTTTGAGAGCAAGTCCAGACAATAATGAATGACTGGTGGTGGAGCCATACTTATTCCTAGTGATATTGTGATGAATATATATATCCATCATATATATATATATATATATATATATATATATATATATGCCTATCATAAAAATTGCTCCTCACATTTAGAGATTACTAGTAATATCTTAGAGAAGGGCAGTGTTATAATATGCAAAATGTGGCTGAGAACTGGTTGTGACTTACATTTTGAACAATCTATGGTGGATGCTAATAATAGCCTAATGAAAATCTTGTCACTGGGTTTTACATCTAGCAAAGTAAGGATATGGTGCCTATTTTGAACAGCCTCTTCCATTGTAAAGATAAAAGTGTATATTGAAGGATGAAGCATCTGAGCATAATATCTATGCTTTGTGTTCTTCTTCTGCTTTCTCAGCTGTCTTTTCATTTTCTTTGTCCTCTTTTCCTACTCTTTTTTTCTTTTTCATTTATTTTAGTTCTTGGTACATGGCCTTCTGTATATATAATTTACTTGTTAACATGTGATTGTTTATCTTATAATTTAAGCTCAGGTCATTATATTTTCCTTAGATTCATTAAAAAGCCCAAAAATATAAACATACTATTTTATATAAATTTGTGCAATAGCATATATATATATCTTATAAAACTTGTCATATTTAACTATGAGAACAGAGAGGCATCTATCTTATTTACTTCTACATCTTCATACCTGAAGAGATGATTTCTTGGGGTGTCAGAACTGTCAAGTATGATATATTAGTCAGTAAGTACAATAGAATAACAATGGACAGGCCAGACAGTAAAGATTTTGGAATTATATTGGTAGGACTTTTTATTTCTCCTGTGGAAAATAAATGAAAAATACATTAGAAAATGACACATTAAACATCTGAACTTTTCATGTCCCATATTATGGAGACAATCAAATTATATCTTCTTTAAAGTAATTCTTCCTGTCTCTAGAGATTATATACTGTCTTCCTTTTACTGAGAAAATATTATTGATGGCTTGGATATTCAACACATGTCTGCATGTATTTAGTGAACGTATTGAATATAAAGTAGTGCTTTGTTTCCTTCAGTGCTTCCTGAAGATAAGAATTTAGATATATTTACTCTTTTTAGGTACATACTGTTGAACTCATGAGGCAACTAGGAAAGACACAATTTTGTTCATTTCCAATAACAAATCTTATTATGAAGTAACCCAAGTCAACAAATGTGATATAGATTTACAGTGATGTTAATGTACTGTTGTCTGTAAGCTCAATTTCAGTCAGTGCAATGTTCCCAAAGCTCAGTGTCTTAAATATTGGTTCACCTTCATATTTGGGGTCATTTAGCTTAAAGTGGATAACATGAGAAATTGACAACAATAATATCTTTTTATTTTGTAATGACAAATATTAATTCATAATCAAACTTGGAACAAACTTGAAGTCTTTCTTTCAGTGAGCACCTCATTAAATCTATGAGTAAGAAATCATATCATGTGCACATTACACAAATTATGGTTGTCTAACTTCAGAGATCAACAGATGCTACCCGTAATACTTCTGCTCATATTTGAGAAATTTGGATGCTATAAAGTTCACTACACACACACACACACACACACACACATATATACATACATACATACATATATAGTTTCTTCCAATAAATAATTTTAATTAAACCAAGCGAATATTCTTGTGTTTTCCTACTATATTTCTAGCCACATATGTGTCAAATGGGTACATAATTTAACTGAATTGTGTTAGAATGTTTGATATTTTAATATTGCTGATTGATGATGACTAAAGTTTCATAAAATTTGGGATGACTCCTACCACATTGATATCTCAACACAGAGGGCAATATTATTGAGCTCCATACATCCGTGAAGAACTATAGAAATTAACAATTGATAAGAGAGATAGAATTAGTCTTCTCAATGGATGAACACACTAATTGGAGCCAGTCAGCCATAGAAACTTACATATGCAGGCAATACTGAATGAACACAACAAGTTGCATGTATGTTTGTTTAGGTATACATGTGACAACAATTGTTAAAGATGTAAGTTTGAATTTGTGGGATAAGTGCCAACATGGGAAGGTGAGATGAAAGAACAGCATATTTATATATAAATTAAGTTAAAATTAACTGTTAATTATAGTTGACTTGACATTAATACCAATGTCTAATAATATCCAAATTGGTTCTGCATGAGTTATTTTCTTCTGCTGTGACAAAGCACCATGACCAACAAAATTCATTGAAGAAAGGATGTATTTATGCTTCCAGATCCTGAGGGATAAGAGTCCACCATGTTGAGGTGGTCTAGAAGGCATGGTGGTAGTAGTACAAAGCTGAGAACTCACACCTTTTTAAACAAGCAGGAAGCATAGATGGCATTAGGGTGTGAACAAGGACATTCAAATCCCATTCTAGTGATATACTTCCTCCAGCAAGACTCTATTTTAAGGTTCTATTAAACTCTTCAAATACTACCAACAAGTGAGGAACAGGGGTTCAAATACCGTCATCCTATGAAGAACATTTTCATTCAAACAACCACAGGCCCTAAACACTTATGCCAATTTTACTAGATATTTATCTAATATGGTATGTTTAGTTTTAACAGTTATAAAACCAAACTCTCCGATATATAGAAATTGTATACAATAGTTTAAGTAAAATATTCTCAACTATCTAGCAGAGATTTTATTCTTTAGGTGAAGAACATAAGCACAATCTGTCCCATTAGGATGAAAATTTTCTTTTCTATTTGTTCAATGATGACTTTTATGTATTTCCAATAAATTTGAGCATTGCTATGATTTATTATCATTCAACATTTTATTTATGTACTTACTTCATTACACACACACACACACATCAAGTAAAATTACCAAGTGGGAAGTAGCCATGAAAGAAAATGGTAAGAAGCCCTGTGGTGGATGAAACATTACCACTTACTTCTATTCCTCCTTCTACAACATGCACTGATCTGTTATCAAGTGAGGCAAACTTTGAACTAAAATGAATGGCATTTGCTTGGCAGTGATGACAAGAAATGAGGGCTTTCTGATTCAATGCAGAGAGGCTGATGATTCTTAAAGGAAAAAATCCCATTTATGACTGGACAGATATTCCAGTAGAGCACTTAGCTGGTTTCCACATACAAGTTCATTAATAACGGGTTAGTTGTAATTGGCTAGCCTTGAACTCACAGTGATCTTCCTGCCTCTAATTCCTGAGTACTGGGATTAAAGGCATGCACCACCACCCTCCAGTTTCCTGTGAACATTTTCACCTTGCAGCTTCTATGACATCACCATTCCTCTCTCCATTTATAAATACTAGGAACACATTTCAGCCAGGAACACTAGGGAACATGTCAGCCAAAGTTTAGAAGCAATCCACAGCCAACCAAATTCCTAAGATCCAGAAAGGACAGCAAAGGTAGAATAAAGGGTAGAACCACCTACTTTTTAAAAACACAATAACAGATATAAACAAAATTTTAACCATCTGGAAATCCAGAGTACGATATGTCATCAGAGAAACACAGCCATTAACAGCAAAGAAATTATTCCTTCCTCAAAACCCAGAAAGAATACTAGAGTAGGCCCAGATAAGTTCAATATAGATAAACCATGAGAAAAAGACTTCAAAATATCTACTAAGAATATGCTGTAAGGCCACAGAAAGGGTATGAATAAACTTATTAAATAAATCTGTGTAAACATGACCAGTGAAATGGAATGATGAGAACAATTAAAGAAATAAAAGTAGAAGTAGAATAACTAAGGGGAATTAATTCTACAGTGCAACAGTACTGGTAAATTTATAAAATCAAACAAAAACCTCAGAGGTAAGTCTCACAGCCCAATACATGAAATGTAATAGAGAATCTCACATTAAAGATAAGACAGAAGGTTCTATGGTGATATGCAAGATATTCATCAGTATGGCTATAGGATAGGGCCATTTCAGGTTCCCTATCCTCAGCTGCCCCAGGAACTAACTGGGGACATCGCCCTGGGCACCTGGGAGCCCCTCTAGATCCAAGTCTCTTGCCAACCCTAAGATGGCTCCCTTAATTAAGATATGTGCTTCCCTGCTCCCCTATCCAACCTTCCTTTATCCCAATCATCCCG